AAGATGAGGAAGAGGCAGAGGAGCAGCTGCCAGTGGATCCCCCCTATGTCGTACAGACCCCTGGATTTATGGATCTCCAGGACCTTCCTCCTGCAGGCAGGGATCCCCACGGCCGGGGAGCAGGATCAACCCCGGGCAGGCAGTCCTGAGCTCCACAAGAGCATTCCCACCTGACAGCCTGCTCCCAGGCACCTGCTTCCAAGCAGCAGACCCAAGTGCCTCCAAAGGGCCATGCCCAGCTTTAACACACCATCCACATCCATGAACTTACGTGTAAAACTCCTCGGCAGGGGACCTGGAGAAGTTGGTCCAGGTGACGTTGCTCCTGCCGAAGTAGTTGGTGCAGTCAGGGGTGTTCCAGGGGTTGTCGCAGCTCGCCCAGGGCAGGGTGCCCGAGAAGGACGAGTAGAAGTAGTAGAGAGCCCAGGCAATGATGGTGTTGTAGTAGAAGGAGACGTAGAGGCCGATGATGCAGATGGCAAATCCGATGCCTGGGAAAAGCCAAGAGCAGGCTCAGCCCCTGGGACACGTCTGTGGGGAGCGGCACTGCCGGCATGGCCCTGCACCCCAGCACGTGGGGCCTGGGCTGGGGGCTCTCACCTTTAAAGATGGGGCAGATGCGCTTCCAGATGGGGATGGCTCCTGTCCTGTGGAACTGCCCCAGGGCCAGCTCCATGTAGAAGAGGGGCACCCCTCCAAAGACAGCCATCAGCGTGTAGGGGATGAGGAAGGCTCCTGTGGGGAGGGAGCAGAGCAGGGTCACCACCAGGCTGCGAGGGGAGGACCACGGTATTGTCACCTTCCTCCCTCACGGTGCTGCCCCAGTGCAGCACGTCGGGTTTGGATGTGTTTGTGAGATGCTTTGGAAATGATCTGGGGCTCAGAGATGAGAGACCCTGCTTGGAGTCCCAGCTTCTTGGGCTTCCCAGGACTCCCCCGCTGGCCAGGATGGTACAAAGAGCCACACAAACCATTGGGGTGCAGGGGAAGGGACTCCAAGCACCCCTCAGGTCTAGAAGTATTTTGGAGAAAATCCCACTGAATATGCACAGCCACCCCAAGACGCATAATTAAGCTGTAATCTGCATTATTTATAACAATCTCATTTTTACCAGGGCTACACTCATACCCCATGGAGGTTTTGGAAGTGGAGCTGCTTTCCGAGTTCTGCTGGGACTAGTTAATTTAACCCCCACGGCTCCTCTCTCTGAGAGCCCTCTGTGTGCATGTGATGTGGCACCCCCAGCACCCTCAGCATCCCCAGTATCCCCAGCATCTCCAGCATCATCTCCAGTATCCTGAATACCCCCAGCATGCCCAGTATCCCCAGTATTCTCAGCATCCTCAGTATCCCCAGCACCCTCCTGTATTCCCCCAGGCTGGACTGGCCCAGCAGGGCAATGTTTTCTCCAGTGTTTCCCTTCCAGGCAGGTCCTGGGCTGTGGGTGAGCCCAGCACTGGCCATCCTGGTGCTCCTGTTCTACAGGGACTGTGGCTGTACTCCCCCAGAGCTGCTGCCTGAACTCCTCACCCTCCTGTGTGTGGGGTGGGTGGAAATCCCCCACCCGATCCACAGCCACACAGAGGGGCTCGGCTTTGGTCCCAATCCCACAGGAGTAACTCACAAATAACTGTGCTTCAGTGTGGGCACCTGGGATCCACAGTTTTGCCTTGAGTATGGAACTAATTATCTCTTTCTAATTTTCCCAAGCAGTAGAGGATGTTCCCTGAAAGCTGACTTTGGCAATTAAATCCGCTGCGCTTTCCCAAACAGCACAAAATTCTCATCCCTCCTTTTTGATTTCCATGTGAGAGAGGTTTCTACCCTGCTCCATTTAAAGCAATTTATTTAGTTGTCATTTACTGAAAGATTTTTCCTGCACAAAGCTTTTGTATCTTCATTTTTCATTGATCCTTCACAGGCTGAACCCCCCGGAGCCAGGGCTGCTCATGGGGTCCAGCATTGCTGGCCAAGATCCATGGCAGGAGGGTGGAATCCTCATAAGGATGATTTTAAACCAAGCCACCCCAAAGGGCAGCTTCCCAGAGTCCCATGATCATAAAGTGTATGAACCTCCCACCCCAAATTTAGAGATCTTAATCCTTTATCGTGGTTTGCATCGGGCTAGTTTTCCCTTTGTGATCCTAGAGCTGCTAACACACCTCTAGCCCCATAGGGAAAGGAGGGAAAGACACAAGGGAAGGAGGGAAGGACCCCAGGGAAGGAGGATGCAGGGAATGGAGGAGGATTTTGAATGAAGAAAGACGCAAACAGAACAGAGAGAGATGTCAGAAGAAGTTGGGTCGGTCTCTAAACCGCCCTGTCCAGAGCAGAGCAGCTGGAGACAAAGAAAGAAAAGAAACAGGGAGTTTTTCAGGGTGGGAAAGATGGAAAAATGACAAAAAAGATGTCTTTTCTTCAAAAGAAGACTTAAATAACCCCAGTGGTGTCCTTACCCCCTCCGTTCTGGTAGCAGATGTAAGGGAACCGCCAGACGTTGCCCAGATCGACGGCAAATCCGATGACCGAGAGGAGGAAATCCATCTTTTTGCTCCACTTGTCCCTGGGGTGGGTTTGAGGGTTCAGGGGCGCAAGGCTGGCAAGGGGACCTGGGCAGGGCTGCTCTGCCATCCTGCTGCCCTGGCAAATCCTGCAGGATTCAGGCTGAGCAACTTAGGGCCGGGGAGGATTTTTCTGTTGCTGATGACAGATCCGAGGAGGGGAGGGTCAGGCTGACTGCGCTTCCCCACCTCCCGCTGGAAACCCACGGCACGGAGCAGCCGGCAGGGAAAGCAGAGCTCTGATCAAAGGCAGGAGGGGAGAGCAGCCCCGAGCAGCAACCAGCCTGACCCCGCAGGGACCACCAGCTTCACCCTGTGGGGACCCGCCTGACCCCGTGGGGATCAACTTGACCTCGTGGGGACCAGCCGGACCCTACAGGACCAGCCTGACCCCACAGGGACCAGCCTCACCCTGCAGGTCCCATCCCCTCAGTACCTGCTGGGTGTATTTGGGGGCTGGGCTGGTGAAACAGGACCCTGTTTCCTCCTTCTTCCTGAAAAATCCTTATTTCTCTGTCCCTGGTGTTTTGCTGTTACCACTCTGCAAATGATGACACCAGACCCACTGGAGGAGGTGACCACTCATTCTTGCAGGGAAAGATCAGGAATTCTGGAATGGTTTGGGTTGGAAGGCATGTTTAAAGGTCACCTTATCCATCTGGGCTCGCTGGGTCTCTCTAGGGTGTGAATTGTTGGGAATAAGCCACATGAAATTGAAATAACTTTCACAGCTGAGCTGTGACCAGGAGGGAATGGCAGTGTCCCCAGAGCCACCGCTCTGCCCTGTCTCAGTTTAACAGCAGATTTTACTGCAGTGATACATGCTTGAGCACGGGGTCACCGGGTGCTCCCAGGGCTCTGAGGGGCTCCAGCCCTGACTGTCCCAGCCTTTCTCATCTGTAATTAAAAGATACTCCAGGGAAGACCATGAGAGCCGGAGCTGGAGCTGCGGCTTCAGGGCCAGGGTGAGCGGGTTGCTGTGACGACGTGACGCAGCTGCCTGGTGTCTGCCCGGTGTCTGCCCGGCACAGGAAGCCTCTGGACACTGTTAATCCCTCAGGCACACACATGGAGACCCGTTAGAAACCTCCAGTTAAAAACACATTTATTTTTTTGGTGTGTCTGGCCCCGGCTGTTTGGGGCGTCATAGAACGGAATCACAGAATCACGGAGTCACTGAGGTTGGAAAAGCCCTCTAAGACCATCAAGTCCAACTGTTCCCCCAGCACTGCCAAGGCCATAACTCACCCATGTCCCTGAGTGCCACATCTGCACACCCTTGGTTGTGGAGGAGGAGCAGGGGACATGGCTCTGCCAGGGGACATCATCCACCAGCTTCTTGCCTGCACATGACCCTGAGAGCCCTGGGAAGGGGATTTTTTCTCCTAATGAGCCACCCCACCTCACTGTGTGCCCCTGAGTGTCCCCTGACCCGGTGTGGGGAGCACGAACTGGAGTGCCCAGCCCAGGGCTGCCCCCTCCCAGTGGGCAGGGATGGGTGTAGGTTCTGGTCCCATCAATCCCCACACTGGGTGGGCTGCACTCTACAGGCTTCTCCCTCTGTGCTGAGAAGCCCAAAATTATTGTTCCTTTAACATGAAATTATTGTTCCTGGAACACCTCTCCTTTCAAATACAAGTTTTCTGCTTGTGGGTTTATGAGGAGCAATGAGACTTTACCCCAAGTGAAGGGGTTGGGTGGGAGGGTGTCAGGGTGGTCTCTGCTCTGAGGGGAGAGTGAGTGGAGGTTGGGGGCGTCCCCCCACAGCCAGACAGAGCCCCTCCACCATCAGCCCCCCTCTATGAGCCCCAGTGCAGCCCTCCCTGAGCCAAGCCCCAGCACACAGGTGAGGGACAGTTAATCTCCTGCGGTTTATACAGGATTTGTGTCACTCCTGGGACTTTGCAGAGCTGTGGATTCCAGTCCCAGTCCTTCAGCGCGGGTGTGGAGATGAAAGCCAAGGCTGTGCTCAGCAGTGGGGGCTGCGGGGGCTGCCAGAGGGGCTGCCCTTGTCCCAGGCTTTGGGATGAAGGTGAGAAATCCCTGCTGCTGGTGTGATCTGCCTGTGGAGCGTGCCAGGGGAGCAGGGTTTAACACCCTGACCAAAGATCAGCTCAAGCATAAATGACAGAACAGAGGCAGCTGGTGCCATAGCAGCTGTAAAAAATAATAGATAATAGATAATAGATAATAGATAATAGCATTTTCTCTTTGCTGACCCTTCTTTTCTCTGGGTGGTTTACATGGAATGGCTCTGTGTAACAAAGGGGGAGACCCTCCTGTGCCCTGGTCCTGCCTCTGCTCAGGAAGGCTCCGCAGATGGACTCAGTCACTGCCAGGTCTGATCGAAGGAGCTGGCTGAGGGGTCTGAGGGGACCTGTGGGGGTCTGTGGGGGTCTGCAGGGGTCTGTGTGGAGCAAGGACACCCTCAGCACAGGGTGCTGGGCTGAGACCGGTTTCCTGGTGTGAATCTGGCATCGTTTAAAGCTGAGCTACTTTGTCTCCTGAAGAGCCCCTTGTTTTCCCCACATTAATCTGTTAAATCACATGGGATGCGCTTTGTCCTCCCACCTTGGGCAGAGCTGGGAGTGCAGGAACAGTGTGAGCCTGGCACAGCGGGAGCTGTTCCCACAGCAGCTCCAAGCTGGAGCTGTGCAGTGCTTTGCCAGCACAGGGATGTGCCCGTTGCTGTCTGAAAGCTCCCTGTGCTGAGGCACTGCCCGGTATCTGTTTCCCAGGCACCACTGCTGCTCCACTCCAGCCCAGGGATGTGCTGCACCGTCGGTTCAATACCTCCATCCCTGACAGATCCCCCAGGTCCTTGCTGGTGAATGAGCCATGAATGCTCCCAGTGCTCCCATCCTGCTCCCCCAGCTCCCACCCTCTCCTGGGGCTCCCGACCCCCCGCCCGTGCCGCCGTCCCTCCGCAGCGGGTCAGGGCCACGCTGTCAAAGCAATGAGGGCAGAGCTTTGAAATCTCCCTTTGGTTTTAGAAGCTGCAAGGTGGAAAGAGCAGTGCAGGTTCTCAGGTTCTCAGGGCTGCTGGAGGAGGGAGGAGGGCGGAGGAGAGATGTCTTGGGGA